GAACTGTATTTTAGATAGCCACTCACAAGCTTTTAAGATGCCAGATGCTACTCACCAAATTAGGATATAGAACATAACTTCACATACTATATTATGCTAATTGACTGAGTTATCCCCAGGAGATAAGTCCTAAGCCTTCAGATAGCAGAAACCAATTTCATTAGGTATTTGAATAATTCTAACAAGTATTTGTGTTTGTGCCCTCTATGTGCTTTATTGTATATATGAATATATATGCATGCATGTGCTTACATACACCTGTATATATGCCTACATATATATGCATACATATACATATCTATACACTTGTATTGTACATATACACACATGTAACCACACTCTTATTTTTCAGTCATTGCTACACATTTGTATATGTCATAGCATTTATTATAATGTCCTTTTTCCTTGCATACTTCTTAGTGACATCATTTACCTTGATCCAGCTGTACACATTCCACCCACATTTGTTGTTATATTTCCCATCACCAGAAATAACAAGTGTCTATTGTCTAGAGAGCAATTTCCCCCTCTCTCTATCACTAAACGCTGGTAACCACCAGATCATTAGTTTCAATATGTACACTTATTTGTTGTAGTTAAGGTTGTGTGTCAACTTGGCTGGGCCTAGTTGAGTGGCTGGGCAGCTGGTGGTAGTTATTCCCCATGATGAGACTGGCAATCAGCTCCATGGTGGGTTCTACCATAAGCAGCTGAGTAGCTGCTTTAGGAATATGGTCTGCTTCCCATATATAAGAAGCAGCTTTGAGAACGGTCTCCAGCTTATGGCACGCTTGAACCCTGCATGTAGCCAAGTCATTGTTCAGCAGCCTGCCATGCTCTGCCAATCTTGGGACTTTTAATGGACTTGAATTAATGGCCTGCCATTTGGTTTGGTAACATTGGCATTGTGCCTTGTTACTTGTTGACAGCAGCCAGCAGCTGAGTGAAGAAAAGCCTCCAGCTTCAGTGGGCCAGGAGCAGGAGGCAGAGCTGAAGCCCAAGGTTAAGAGGCTTTCACCCAGCCTCTAGAGCCTGGCACTTTGAACTTGGACTACTAGACTCCAAAACTGTAAGAATAAACTCCTATTTGTTAAAGCTAAAAAAAAAAAAAAAAATTAAGTTTTAGTTTCTCTTCTTCTGTTTCTGCATTTTGAGTTTTGCTAAATAGTCTATTTATGCCGTAAATTAGGCCCCTTAAATTTGCCTGTATTTTATCTTTGATGAACTTTAGAGTTTTAGGTTCTACATTTAGGTCTTTGATTCATCTTGCGTTTATTTTTGTGTATGGTATAAGGTATGCATCTTATTTCATTTTTCTGCAAATGGATATCCAGTTTTGCCAGCAGGATTTGTTAAAGAGACTATCTCTTTCCCATTGAATGAGTTTCAGCCTTTTGTCAAAGATCAGCTAGCCACAGATAGAAGGATCTCTTTCTGGATTCTCAATTCTGTTCCACTGGTCTATGTGTCTACCGCTATACCAATATCATGCTATTTTGACTACTGTGACTATACAGTAGGTTTCCATTTCATTTTTGACAACTTTCAGTTTTCTTAGATTCATACTTTGTATATTCCACGTTCTGATTATTAATTAATATTTCCAGTTATTTCTTCTCATTTTGAGTCAGGCCACATCAGCAAACGAAGGTCCCAAAAGCCTTACTCTATCCACATCATGAAGATTGACTCTACTTTGAGGAGGTAGCTCTTCCCCAAGCATATTCTTAGTGCTTTACAACCTGAGGGGCTCATCTTCTGGCACTATATCAGACAAAGTTTCATTGCTATTCATGACGTTTTCCAGTAATCTATCAGACAGTGTTTTACTGGTATCCTTAAGATCTTCAGCGGCCAATTTTTTCAGAAGTGGATGGCCTTATCCTTCTTCCTAGTCTATCTTAGCCTGGAAATTCTGCTGAAACCTAGCCACCAGGGGTGACCCTGCTGGTATTTGAAATACCAGTGTCATTGCTTCTTGTATCACAAGAACATGTAAGCCACCACAGTTTGACAACCTGACAGATGAGTGGTGACCACTCTTTAGTAGCATCTGTAAAAATCCATTACAGATTATCCAATCCATAGATCTCAGGAACACATAGTATTTTCTTTTTTCTCCTCCCCTGTCCTCCTGCACCTCAAAGCTATAGGAGAGACTTTCTTCTCACAAACTCCAAACTTTCTCACCTCTTGTCTCTGTGCTTTTTTTTCCTCTCTCTTCCCCTGCTTCCCTTTCTCTCAGTCCTTTAATATGTAGATCAACTTAGCCTCCTTTACAATTCCACTTTTACTATTTACTCCATTTTTTTTCACTACCTAGAAGTGGAATCTAGCAACTTATTCCTTTATCTTCTGCCTACTTCTCTCACTTTAGCTCTTTATATCTAATTCTATGATTTTCAATTAAAAATAAGATAAGGAAATATATATTACCTTATAAGAAGAGGCCTAATTAGCCAAGAATAATCTTTTTGTGGGGTTAGGATGAGAAATGTGACATATAAATTAGTAAATCTCAACACTACCATGTATTATTCCTATTATCTCCACTTGACAAGGTAGCTACAAATTAATTAAAGTTGCTTTATGGCATAAGATGCAATATACAATCAGAAGATGAATATGTAGGAAGGAGTTTAGAAATAATTCTTACAGGAGTCAGGTTTAGTGGCTTGTCACTTAGAACGGCAGGATTATAAGGGCCCTTGTTAGTTGACTCCAACTCATGGTGACCCCTTGTGTGCAGAGGAGAACTGCTCCTTAGGGTTTTAAAGAATGTGACCTTTTAGAAGCAGATTTCCAGGTCTGTCTTCTAAGGCACTTATGAATGGGTTCAAAACACAAAACTTTCAGCTAGTAGTTAAGTGCTTAACCATTTGTGTCACCCAAAGACTCAGGGCCCTCAGAGGTTTAAGTACAGTATTTTCTAAAAATTTTTTGTGCAGAAAAATATTTCCCAGTATGTTAACACTTATTTTATGGGGGGGGGGGACTTGAAATGGTTCCATGGCCAAATCAGTCTGTGAAGTGCTGGACTACACAGAGCTAAAGGAGTTTCTTCAACTTCAAGACTTATTAATAACTTAAGTAGTAGTTTTAACATTTTGGGTGATTAATGTTTTGCAGAATATACATTAGGAAATGTTGATTTTGACCATCCTTCTTATTGGCTAGACAAGGAACCTGAGACTATCCAACCAAAAAACCAAACTCACTGCCATTCAGTCGGACCCAACTCATAGCAACCCCTCCTTGGGTTTCCGAGGCATATATCACTATGGGAGTAGATTGCCCAACCTTCCTTCTTAGGAGTGGCTAATAGGTTTGAACCGCCAGCCTTCTGGTTAGCAGTCATATGCCTTAGGCACTATGCTACCAGAGCTCTTCCTGAGACTATCAGAGGAGTGAAAAAAAAACAAACCGAATCAAATCTGTTGTTGTCAAATTGATTCAACTCCTATCAACCATATAGAAGAGAGCAGAACTGTCCCCTAAGTAAATTTTTATGAAGCAGACTGCCACATTTTTCTCTCATAGAGTTGTTGGTGGGAACGAACCACCAAACTTTTGGTCAGAAGTCAAATGCCTAACTACCACACCACCGACACTTTTTATTAGAGAAGTAGTGACCCATGTAACAGCACTCAGGTTTCCAGTGCAGAGGTGAGGCTATATTCCAGGGTTCCTCACTCCCTAGTAGTTTAGTGTGTGTGGTATAGTAAATTATTTTGTGTGGCTTTTCTACCCATAAGTCTTTGTAAACTCCAAGGTGGGATTTGCTATGAGCAACTGAGGAGCTCCTGATTGCTAAAGGTGTCCACCTGGAGTATTTCTGTTGGGAGTGGCACAAAACAGTGTTCTGGGAGGTGCCTACTCTCTCAGGTGCTTAGA